GATCGATATCTAGGACTCCATTAGAGCCCTATATTACTTGAGATACGTATATACTTGCGTTGATAAATGTGACTTTACAATTATTGAATATTTATTACGTCCATATTTATCTTGTATTTTTAAGCATATATAAAGTCGCGGTCAGTTCTCTAGAAGCAGGAGCACAAGCGCTGAAGTGGGAGCCTAAGCGCCTAGTTTGGGAGGACTTCTACCTTCTCGGTTTGGGAACACTCAGTGGGAGCTTAAGCGCCCACAGCCAGGCTCCTTGGCATTGGGTAGATTGACTGCGTGGAAGCCAACCATCCTGCTTCTGATAAGTGCTACAATCAGACTCCACAACTAACAATTTCCCACTTGGAGAATGATAGCACCTAGTCTAGTCCTCTGTACCTGCACCTCCAGATGAATTGCCTTCATAGTCACATACCTTGGTGTGGCTCACCCCCGATCTCAACCTTCATGAAATCCAATTGAAGCTAAGCACAACTTCATTTTCTCAACAGTGACCATCTTCGTCAACATATCCGCAGGATTTTCAGTTGTATGTGTCTTTTCCAGAAAAAAAAAAACAACTCATCTTCTAGAAGAGACCGAATGAAATGATACCTGAGCTGGATGCGTTTTGTCCTGAAATGAAAAGCATCGTTCTTACCAAGATGAATCACACTCATATTGTCACTGTAAAGTTTTCCAATCCCCTGCACCTTGCCCAATTCCATCATGAAACTCTGTAGCCAAATCATATCCTTGCTAACATTAGTAATAACAATATATTCAGCCTCCGTAGTAGAAAGAGCAACAATCTTCTGCAACCTAGAAATCTAACTCACCGTTGTGCTCCCCAATGTGAAGATATACCCCCATATGTACTTCTCATAGTGTCCACATCTTCTGCTAGATCTGAATCTACGAATCCCTGTAGACTGATCCCAGTATTTCCATAACAAAGTGCCCTGTTGACTGTTTATCTCAAATACCTGAGAATCCAATTTACAGCTTCCCAATGATGTTTGCCTGAATTACCCATGTACATGCTAACTACTCCTACAACATATGCAATATCTAGTCTGGTAAAAAACATTGCATACATCAAACTTCCAACTACTGAAACATAGTTCTTTCCATCTATGCTTACTCTGCTTCGGAGTTAGGCAATAGCTCCTTAAATAGTTTAAAGTAACTACTTAGGGGAGTACTAATTGGTTTTCTCTCACTCATGTTGAACCTCTGTAGGATCTTTGCAGCATACTCTGCTTGAGACAACTTCACTATTTTTACACTCCTATCCCTGCTGATTCTCATCCTGAGGATCTTCCTGGTTCGATCTACATCCTTTATCTCAAACTCACTTGATAACTGATTCTTCAAGTCCTTGATTTTCTCCATATTTGCCCTTGCAACCAGCTTGTCATCTACGCACAACAGAAACAAGATATAACAGTTACCAAAGTGTTTGATGACGCAATAGTGGTCAGCCTGACACTTAATGTACCTGTTTTCTGACATAAACCTGTCAAACCTCCTATACCACTATCTTGGGACATGCTTTAAGCCATAGAGACTCTTTTTTCAATCTGCATGCCAAACCTTATTTAGCTGGAACATTGTAACCTTGTGGCTGCACCATGTATAGCTCGTCATCCAGATCTCCATGTAAGAAAGATGTTTTTACATCCACAACTCTAGATGTAGATTTTCCACTTTTACCAGACTTAGCATAACCTTGACAATCATCATCTTCACCACTGGGGAGAAAATCTCTGTATAATCCACTCATTCCTTCTGCTAGAAACCCTTCACAAGAAGTCTTACCTTGTAGCACTTACTACCATTTGATTTCTATTTCAGCCTGTAGACCCACTTGTTATGCAGTTCTCTTTTGCCATTTGGTAGTACCGTCAAATCCCAAATCTGATTTGACTCTAAAGATTGCATTTCTTCATCCATGTCGAGCTCCCACTCCCTTGAATCCTCAACATGAGTGGCCTCCTCAAAGCACTCTGGTTCACCACTATCAGTTAGTAATAAAGTGTAAAGAAAGACAATACCTTTGTATGAGTTGTTTCACTATGCTAGATCTCTTGATTTTTGTAGTAGGTGTCTGAAAAACTTCCAATGCTCCTTCTGGTTGAGCACTTTTTCTTTCTCCATCCTTCTGATCACCAATATCATTTATCTCCACATATCTGGATTCTTCAGAAATAACTGGTGGACTGTCTTGAGTTCTAACTGTCCTTGTACATCTCTATCTCGTTGAAAGTGACATCCAGGCTCTTGATGAATTTCTGATTTTGATAATCCCAGAACGTGTACCAAAACTCATATGAGCCATATCCAATGAAGGTGCACTTCACGAATTTTATCAAGCTTGCTTCTAAAACTTGCATCAACATGCACATATGCAAAACACCAAAAATTCATACCTTATTGCCACTCCAAGCTTCTTTAGGTAAGCCTTCCTCCAAAGATACTGACGGATTACACTTAATCAAATAAACTGTAGTTTTAACTGCTTCAACTCAAAAATGTTTCGACAAGCCTAAATGCAACCTCATGCTCCCAACACGCTCTATGATTGTTTTGTTCATGCACTCAATCACACCATTCTGCTGCGGTCTCCTTGGGACAGTGAACTCATGCTTGACCCCCTCTGTAGCACAGAAATTCCTGAACTTCTGATCACGATACTCACCCAAATTATTTGATTGAAGCACTTCAGTTTCAAGGCTGTCTCATTTGCTATTATAACCTCCATTTCTTAAAAACTTTTTAATGCATTATATTTCTCCTTCAAGATATAAACTCGTACCTTTTCTCATGCAATCATCAATGAATGTGACAAAATAATGAGAACCTCCAATGGACTGAATTGATGTAGGATCTCATACATTAGTATGCACTAACTTCAATTTCTTTGACATTACCGCTGACCTACTTTTGGAAAAAGAAACTTTCATCAGCTTGTCATTAATACAGTCTTCATAGAAATCCATATCAATTGATTTCAAACTCTGAAGCTTATTCATTGAAAGTAGGGACTTTATACCTTTCTCGCTCATAAGGCCAAGCCTACGGTGCCACAGACCTGCATTCACTATGGTTCCAGCCACATCAATGAAATCAACCATTTCATTGATCAGATAAAGGGTGCATTCAATGTTACCCTGAGCCATCACTAATGCCCCTTGGTCACCTTCCAAGTATCACCTGTGAAAGTTATAACGAGCCCTAACTTTACCAACTGACTTACAGAGATAAGATTTCTCTTCAAACTTGGAACATGTCTGACATCAGTAAGCTTCCAAACTATTTCATTAGCCAAATTAATATCAACATCACCCTTTCCTATTATACTGCAGAGCTTATTATCTCCTAAATAAACATTCCCTAGATCACTTTGAGTGTAGTTTTTGAATACAATTTTATTGGGGCAAGCATGAAAAGAGCACTTGAATCCACTATCCAAGATTGAGTGCTGACTAGGAATAACACCAAAGAGTCATTTTGGATTTCATTTGTGAAAACAATAGTAGAAAAACTACTATCATGTCCTTCACCACCAGCTTTCATTGGAGCTTTGCAGTCCTTCTTGAAATGCCCCTTCTTATCGCAGTTCCAACATTCTCCTCTGCTTGACTTGGGTTTTCCTTTCTCGGATCTGCCTCTAACTGTATTCCTACCCAGATTCCTCCCGCTGTTATCAACATTCAACGCAGAACCTTAAGATTCACCATTCACTGCTTTTCTGCAAACTTCTTCATTCAACATCAGCCGAATATGTCATCAAAGTTCAACTTTGAAGTCTCTGAATAATTACTCACCGCCATTACCAAACCATCATAACTTTCAGGCCAAGAAGATAGTTTCACCAGTGCTTTGACCTCATCATCAAACTTGATCCCTACATAACACAACTAACTTGTCACAATGTCAAAGTTATTGAGATGCTCTGCCATTGAACTAGCTTTCACCTTCTTTATGTTAAAAAAATTCTTTATCAGAAAAACCTAATTAGAAACAGAATGTTTTTCATACATCTTGGCTAATGCCGCCTTGAGATCAAGTGTAATTCTGATTCACAATGTTGAACGCAACAAATGAGGAAAATGTTTAACCTATTCAAACCCAGTGCCATTCGATCCAACACTTTCTACTCCTCAATAGGCATAGACTCCGACTTCTTTGTGATTCCTTGTAGTGGCAAGTACAAATTATTTCGATACAACAAATCCTCCACCTGTATCTTACATAAAGCGAAGTTCGTCCCATTCAAATTCTTAATATTGAACCTTATGTCATTGGTCATTGCTCCCACTCGAATCGAACCCCCACTCTGATATCAGTTTTGTTGGGAATCCTCTAAATGATTCTCATGAAATAACATAAATAATAGTTCTCATGAAAACTGCTATGGGCGCCCAGTGCTCTGAAAGCAGGCGCCCCATCGCTACACTCACTTTGGGCGCAAAACTTCCACCTTCTCGGTTTGGTAATGCTCAATGGGCGCTTAACGCCCATAGCTTGGCGACTTGACACCGAGTGCACTAATTGCGTGGAAGCCAACCAACCTGCTGTTCATGGGTGCTACAATCAGAGTCCGCAACTAACATATATTCGTTTTGCATTTTCTCTAAGTGTAAAGCACTCATCCACCTAAGCATTCTCATCTCAACAACACAATTTAGCTTTATGCTTCTCTTTTATAAGCAAAATACTACAGAACATGCACTAAGGAAGAACGTTGAGCTCTTGAGAAAAACAGGACGAACGATAAAAGCGCAAAATCAAAGTTTCAGTCAAGCAAACCAATATTATACACAGAAGCCACGCAAAATAATTCCATCACACAAGCACATAAGCACAAGTTTGGCAAAGTTCACAAACTCTGCATACATTTTCATTTACATTTTATACACAGAAGCCAATATTAGAGTTTCAGTCAAGCAAACCAATATTAAACACAGAAGCCACGCAAAACTGAAGTTTCAGTCAAGCAAACCAATATTATACACAGAAGCCACGCAAAATAAATTCCATCACACAAGCACATACTCAAGCACAGTTTTGGCAAACTTCACAAACTCTGCAGACATTTTCCTTCACATTTTATAGAGGGCGAAATCCTAATTATCCAAAATAACATTATTGGAACTCACTTTAGAGATGGAGACAGTGTGCTCGGTGAACCCCTTGTAACAAGAACATGGAGCTGCCTAAGAAAGAAATGAAATTATCCTAGGTTAATTAAATACAAGCAAGTACTTAATAAATTTAATATATAGTCAGACTAAATCTTACCGCTGATGACACATAAATACATGCGGTGTCATCCATCATAACAAAATGAAACAGAAAAATATGAAAACTACATTTTACCTCAGAATGAATTTGCTTGATTGGATATTTACACTGAAATATCATATTTTCAGTCCATGTAAACCAAGGTTGCATAGTCTGGTTCCCACATGTGGCTCTTCACATATGCCAAAGTCTCCGCCTTAAATTTCATGAAACATAATGTGAAATTTCTAAGTTGTACTTAGTCTTCACGCAAAAAATGGAAGATTTACATACATACCACCCAATTCTTATAAATTTACATATTTAACACCTAAACTTCAATTCTTACATACATAACACTTTACCTTTGCATGAAAAGATACATTTCATATTTTAAAAGTTAAAATGGTAGTATTTTTCAAATGATAGAAAAGATTTAGGTGGTATAAACGTAAAGAGTACAATTTTGATGTTAGAGACAACCTTATCAAGTCTCCTGAGCTCCATAGGATCCATATCTTCGCGTCCTTCTGCTAGATCCTCCGCCACAGCTTCCCTGATTACTGCAGCAGCAACTTCTCGTGTTATGTCACGTATCCTGCATTAAAAAGTTCAGAGTTTACATGACTACTTTAAACTTGTTCTCCTTCATGAATTTTTATGCTCTTGGAAGGAAGAGCATAAGAAATGCTAATTTATAAATTTGGCAAACTGAGATATGAAAAGTTGTGAAAGCTGCACAATAAACCTGGAAATTGGGGGATATATTATTCCGTCGAGAACGTCCTCTTCTTTCATATATGCAGCAAGGCTGGTTTAAGCATGGCAGAACCAATATATGAGAAAAAAAAAAAAAAAAAAAAAAAAAAAATTGAAGGGGGCCGTTGGGATGATTTTTGGTTTTTGCTTTTTATTTTTTTATTTTTGTTTTGTTTTGTTTTGTTTTGCTTATGTTTTTATTAAAAATAAAATATGTTTGGTAAGCTAAAACATGATTAGTTGTTTTCATAAACATTCAAAATAATTTTAGGTATGTTTAGTGTTTTTATAACTAAGGTAGTTTGTTTTTGAAAGTAAAAAAAATAAAAATTTAGGAAAAAAAAAACACTAAGGGACAGTTTGGGATCAATTTTATTTTTTGTTTTTTATTTTTATTTTATTCTGTTTCTGTTTTTATTTAAAACAAAATTTATTTGGTATGACATAACATGTTTAGTTATTTTTAAACATACTCAAAATAACTTTTCGATGCCTTTTATATTTCTAAAAACAAACTAATTTGTTTTTAAAAATAAAAAATAAAAACAAAAAAAAATATAGTGAATAAATATGTTTTTAAAATAAAAGCAAAAAAAATAAAAAATAAAAATAAAAGTGATCCCAAACAAGCCCGAAGTGAGGCAAGAGTTGAAAATGATCACCATACAGCTGCTGCTTGAAGCATGCCATCTGAGATGACACGTGCACCAGATAAAAGTGTACCAAGCCCTATGCTGTATTGATGAAAATGATTAGAAGTACAACAAGAACGCCTTGTTCTATTATTAATAAAGAGGTGAAACAACATACCCAGGGAAGAGGTACATAGCATTTGCCTGGTTGCAATGCCCAAACTTACCATTTCCTGTATCAGTGATCGGGCAGTGGATGTGAGTTTCGGTCTTTATGGTAAAAGCAATTTTCTTTGCTACGTGATGGAAGTACACTCCGTAAGATAGTGGAAGTGGTACTTCAGAACAAGATGAAACAAAACCTACTATATTTGACTAGATCTTGATAATTTTTTAGAAAAATTAATTTTAAAATTTTAGTGGGTTATATATAGAATTAGTGACGCATGTAAAAAATATCAAATGCGTGTGTTGGTTGAATACATATTCTTCAATAGCTTCACAAATCACTAAGATTTATAAAATTTTCAAGGGTGGGCCTCTTTTACTAGAGTGAGTACTGATTTCTAGAGTAATTTCTATTATTATTCAAGTTTTAATTTATTTAGTCACTTGTTAGTGCAGATGATTAAAATTATGTCAAGTGTGATGAATGTTGGATTCTCCTTTAATAGTATGAATTTGATAGTGGTTAAAATTTTTTTGTTCGCTCACTTTCTTCTCAAAATTCAGACATTGCTCACTATTGAATTATTACTTGCGAAGAAAGAAGTATGTCCTTTTTGAATTGAGAGTGACAGATTTTTATGCTAGTGGAAAAAATTTGATAACTTTAACCCATCAGTATTGATTTTGCATGTTTTCACTGTGTTCTTATCTCAGGCTGCATTATTAACCCTTAAATCCTAACCGTCCTACAGCACATCTCCTACCTAATCAATAGGCGCATTTTCTGCAATTTGTAGTGCATGTAGAAACATTATAAGTCTATTTTTAATCATGATATCTACATGGTAAATTTCATGCTGATACCTACGTAGTAACTTTCAAACATGTACTTGTGATAAAAAACCTTTCCCTTCTAATGTTTCTAGATTGATATAAGTGCACCTGATGCAGGAAGTCACAACAAAATTGTAGAAAAATAACAATTTAGGAGAGAGAAGAGAGAAAAATAAAAGAAAGATACATAAGGAATTTGATACGATCCGTCGTCAATATCAAAATACTTTTTCACAGAAATTAGGGAAAAATAAATATTTTCTTCAATAATCCAAATATCTCATACAAATACAAAAGATAAGCACCTACAATTCGAGAGGTAGGCGATCTCTCACAATTCCTATAATTCGAGAGGTAGGAAAACCCTCCCAAACCCTAGACCTAAGACTCACAACCCAATCTCATGCCTATCCCTAGCCCTAGATAGAACAAGCCTATTTACACCCAATAACAACGATAAGAAAAGACTAAATTGCCCTTAGGCGTACAAAAGACAAATTTTCCCTTAGTCTAGGCGTCCTCGTAACAATACTCCCCCCTTCAAAAGACACCTTGTACTCAAGGTGGGAAAAAATGAGAGTGATCCTCCTCCTCCATAGCTGTCTGTATTTCTTAATTCTCTGCTTCCTTGTCCTGCACTATGAGAACTTGTACTCTTCGATCATTATAACGGTATCCTAGGGTAGACTTTTCCCTCAAACTGAAAACATAACTGCTTCACTCACTTCTCCTGAATCTCTGTTTCTGCTGTAAGACGCTTGAGTGTTGCTCTCGGTCATGGTCCATTATTCATGCTCGTGCAGTTTCCCTCTGGAGTTCCACTATTTGAACTGTTAGCATCGTCATGTTGCAGCAGTTCTGTACGATGCTTCATTTGTGTTGCTCCGGTTGGCTTTCTTCATCTAGTTCTTGTTTTCCACCATCTGGGCTAGCTCCAACATCTCTCTCAATCCTCGCGGTCTTAGTAGTCAAAGTGCTGCTTGTATGTTGAGCTTTAAGCCCTTCATGAAATTCCCCTCCAGTCCCGCTTCAGAAATCCTCCACAGTTATCCTGACAATAATTCAGATCTCTCCCTATATTCCATGACCGTCCCCTCCTGAGTGAAGACATAGAATTGCTCGTGTAAGTCTCCTTCTCGAATGGCTCGAAAACGTTCCAACAAACAATCTTTCAATTCATCCCACGAACGAATCGGGTATCTAGCCTCCCTCCACTGAAACCAGGCTAAGACTTTCCGCTCCAAACACAATCCTCCCGCCATGAGTTTCTCCTTCCCATCTAACTAATTTATCGAGAAGTAACGCTCCGCTCGATACACCCAACCATGTGCGTCTTCCCTCTCAAAGATTGACATCTTCAAATTCCTGACTCTATACATCTCCACCCTAACCTCCTCTTCCTCTGGTATATCTAAGGTGGAAATCTCTCCTTCGGTGGCAAGCATACCCAACTCCAGATTCCCTCCTTCCTCCATCGTGCTCGTTCGTGCCCCTTACACCATCCTTCGTCCAATTTTCGGCCCATCCCCCTCCATCGGAAGTCTCCATTCCCCCTCCTCTCGGAGTCCTAAGGAGAAGCTCTTGTTAGTAGATGATGACTTCCTCGTCTTCTCGCTCGATCTCCTTCCCTTTTGACCCGGCTAAGAATTCCCTGATCAACCCTTGGTTAGGGTTTGCAACTGAAGCGATCTCCATGGCCTTGGATTGTATCTCTATGAGTTTTTTTTATCATCTCCCACATTCCTATGCTCTCAAATCCTTCAATGGAAGAAAACATGTTCTCCATGGTGGTGAATCTCTCTTCCATTTTCGATCTGATTTGACTCATCTCTTCCTCTAACCTCCTCTCCAATTCATCTACTTGGCTGCCATTCCTCACTACCGTTTTCAAAACTTAAATGTCACGATGTTGTAGCTGGTTTAAATCGGGACCGTAAAAATCGATTCAAATCTCTAGACTGCACAAGAAGCTTAACTCGTCGGTCTTCATAGCAGCGCCTTCCTAGCAAGCTCTTATCGTAATTGTAATGCTGTTGTCGCCCTCTTGTACGCTGTCAGATTAGGATAAGAAGGCACTTATTGTGTGCTGCGATCTTGTCGGCTTTTCCTGCGCCCCACGATCCCGTTGATTTTCCCCGCAAACACTACTTACGACTGCCTTCCCGAGGATGGAGCGGGAGGAAGAGATCGAGGACGTTTAGGGTCTCTGCAAGCCACAATTCCAGATCGTTTGCCAAGCATGCGTCTGTACATGTGCAAAAGGAGGCCAAAGATGGAGCTTCAGGTCTCTGTTCGTTGCGATCCTTCGTCGCAATCCTTTGCGTCGACTCTTTCACTGCCCACTCTAACCCTCTGCAATCCCGTCGTCTCTTTCCCAGCAAGCTGTGAGTGAAACAATATGCAGAGCTTCGTTACGTAGAAGTTTTGGATCTCGATAAGCAGCGATCCTTCGCGTTGAAGCCTTCTCAGTGCACCGTGATCCTGCGGTGGCCTCCCTGCTAGCAATTGTATCGTAGGATTCAGGCACAAAGGCTATTTCTCATGCCGGCTGCGTCTCTCACAAAATAGCGCTCTGATACCAATTTGATATAATCAGGTCACAAAATAGTGCTCTGATACCAATTTGACAATTTGATATAATCCGATCACAAAATAGTGCTCGGATACCAATTTGATATAATCCGACGTCAAAATCAAAACATTTTTCACAGAAATTAAGGCAAACACAAATTTTTTTTTCAACAAACGAAACACCTCACACAATTACAAAAGATAAGCACTTCCAATTCAAGAGGTTGGCGAACTCTCTCAAACCCTAGACCTAATACTCACAACTCAATCTCATGCCAACCCCTAACCCTAGACATAACAAACCTATTTATACCCAACAACAACAATAATAAAAAACTAAATTGTCCTTGGACATATAAAAGACAAATTTGCCCTTAGTCTAGGCGCCCGGCGCCCACACCCACGTAACTGAATCCTTACCTTAATAATGTTGATTCCTCAAAACATTGTGCCGTCAAATACGCAAAAAATATAAAGAGGATGCAAATCCTCAAACAATAAAACCACAGTTTAAAAACATTTTTTTTAATTCTACTGAATCACATGCTATTCAATTGTAATAGATCTAACTCAAAAACTCAAAACCGCCCTTGAACAAAAAAGAAAAAAAAACATATCAAAGTAGCACAAATGAATATGAGAAATGACATTTTAACCACTAATAATTAGTTTAAAAAAAACTAAGACAAACATAACATAAAGCATGCCATGACATTAACTTCTATTTAAAAATAGTATGACATCCATGATCAGGCATCTTATCTAGCATCAATGTCGTAGAGTTGAAAATAATTTCACTCCAAGATTGAATTGTTGAAGAAAGAAGAAATGGGGAGCACTTGAGCGGGCAAAATTAATTAGTGTAAAATCCATTGAAAGAAATCCATTCCAAGAAACAAAAGATGAATGAAAAAATAAACTTATCATGAGAGATGAAAGAGAAATACTACTCCATCTGTAATAGTACCGACAAAAGGTTCACTTAATAGAGCCTCTTGAACAATATCAATTAGTGCTGGGATAAAATCTTTGAAAGTCAAGAGGTCTTCATGTACGCCAACACATGGAAAAAGCACCAACAATAAGAACATCCTCTTATTATTTTTTCTTTATTATAAATTAAAGTTATATAGAGAAGGTAACCGCATAATTATGCCATTTTCAATCTGTGCTATTAGAGAATAAAAACTGCAATAACAAGATTTTTCTAGGCTTCAGGTAGAAAGGCTCCATCACGATTATTGTACGGAGATAAAGTTATGGTAAAGGATTGCGACACGTTGAGGAAGAGAGAGGCATTCAGGGCAGTCTAATATTGATTATTTAAAAGACATTTTTTTGATTTGTTCAGGGCAGTCTAAGGGGCCCGCTAGAAAAGATTTCGCTGGAATAACTAGCGAAGCATTCAGCCAGTGGGTGTCTTCCCTGCATATCAAGGCATGGCCTCGAGCGCTCACAAGTCACAATATATGTTTTGCACCAGCCACCATGTTTAAGAGGTCATAGCCTAAAGATATAATGCAACAAAAATTAAATTCATTAATGGAGTTACTACATTTCAATATATTATAAACAATTTTTTGATATTAAAAAAATAAAGATAAAAGATTAATTAACTTTTTAATCTGAGTGCATAATATGCCAATTTGCTTCATTTTGATGTTTTATTATGTTTACCTTTACATGTTTGTGTTAATTAGATAGTTATAATACGAATCATATAATTATGAATTACGAATATGGGAAGTTATTTCAATTTTTTATTTAACTAATTGTTATCATATTTTATATTCTTAAAGTCATAAAATTTATAAGGCCTAGGGCCTATGCCTTGGTATTGATCCTCAACTTTATGATATGGGAAACATCTCACCTTATGCATTCTTCTTTTAAAAGCACCGATTATGAAAAATAATCAGCATAAGGAAATAATTGGGTAGACTAAGTTAAGATGATTTTTTTATATAACATCATAACCAAGAGCTGAGGGCAATTCCAAAGAATTAGAAATACAAAGACAATACGATAACCAAGTACACAACATCCAATAAATCAAGGAAGCTACCAAAAAAAAACTCCTTTTGGATTGTCTTGCTCAAAGCCTTGTGAATATAGGTGAGGGACCATAAATTCTTGCATTGAATCATAGGGCTGCTAAGAATCATAGAGATTCTGATTCATAAACTGAAGAGAGTTGAGGTATTGCAGAACACAAAACCACATACACAAGCTAAACGCCTTCAAGTAAACAATCAAAAAGAAAGTTGAACTCAAGCGAATTATTGATACAAATATGTAGCCCAAGGCCAGAGGAAAAAAATATAAATCTGTGCAGAAAAGGAAGTGGCGGGAATAAAAGTTTAACAAAAAGATGCATTGAGATGACATTTGGATGGACAACAAAGCGAAGAAAAAAAAAAAAAAAAGGAAAAATACCAGAAAGTATAAAGAAGATCAAAATGGAAAGCAAAGAAAAAACGGGAAGCTAAAGATAAACTGGCCAAAAAATTTTGTAAGTACTTTACAAATATGCAAAAGTAAATTAGGAAAATAAAATGGTAAATAAAACAGCCAACCCCACATAACTTTGATTATACTGCTGCTAATTATGATGAGTGTTTTATTGCAGTTCAATACTTGCATAGATGAAATATACCTTTCTACTGAAATAGAAATCTTTAGTATTAATGGGAAGGACAAAATAAATGGATGTCTGAACTTTTAAATTTAGCAGCATACAGTGCCAACATTTCCTTCGTGAAGAAAAATACTTTAAACAATAAATGGGAAGTAAATAAAATATGATATCCTTCCAAACTCAACAAAATATGATTAACAGGCTCCAGAATTTTAAAGGGCATACCAAGATCCACAGCCTTGAAAGGGCTCCCACTGGCAAAGAGAATTTGTTCTCCCAAAATTGAAAAGGCGTCTTCAGGCGTGCATTCAGCTACCGAAAGGGTATCCAAAAAAACATAATTCAGAAGAATTATATAGAAGTTTAAATATAACAAAAAGATAGAATTCAGCAGTCTTAAATACAATGAAATGCAGAACCAACCATTTTTTGTGGGATTTGACATGGGGAAAATAGCAGGCCTAACAGAAGTTGAGTCTTTGAGGGCTTCTAAAACCTAATTTCAAGCAAAAAATTATGTTTCAAATATCAATTCTAAAGTACCATATCTACTAGAGCTCTCGACCAAGCAATCAAGAAAAAATTATGATGCATGAGTAATAAATTACTACGCAAATTATTAGAAAAAACTCAACCGTGTAAATGGATATGGTCTTCCAAAACTTAAGATAACTCCTCACATAGGAAACTTACAATTTGATTGGAAAACTTTATTAATGCTGTTATCCAAAACAACTTTAAGTAACATTGTGGAAAACCCTAGCTAGCTTTTGACATTCTTCTAAACCTTGGATATTGAGATGACAACAATCTTTCATGTAGGAGTTTGGTTTTTTGTATCATAGATGTGTTATCCTCGTGTATCTGCAAGATTCTTACCAATAAAAAATCATTGTTCATGCTTTCCAATGAACAACTCTAAGGAAAGCCCTTTGCCTTCATTAATTGGCAATGAAGTCGTGGTACATGTGAGAAGTCGCCATAGTAATTTAGCTTGGAAGGCTAAGTTTTTGAGCTCAAAAGAACAAATAACAAGGCCTCCCTCCTGCCAGGGTTGGCAGATAGACCACTAAATTACCACATGGATTTTTGTGCTTTCACATTTGGACCAAAGGATGTCACGTTGCAGGACTTCAAACAGATCGATCGTATAGAAATAATATTCAAAGCTTCTCCCCAATTTGACATCATTTTTATTTTCTATTTTTATTTTTGTTTTAACTTTTGTTTTTGAAAAAATATTTGATTAATATAATTTTTACATGTTTTATTTTTGATTTTTTTAAAAGATAATCTCATTTTTTTTAAACACTCAAAACAACTAAAGGATAATTTTGAGTTTTTTTTTTAAAAACAACTATCACAACCACACATACTTTAATTTAAATCAAAATATAAACAAAACAGAATTAAAAAAAAAGAAAGAAAAAAAAGTGATCCCAACCCGATAGTGTTTCATTTCTGTTTTCCTATTTTCTTTCTTATTCAGTCAACACAATCGTTACTTCCAATCTAAGGAGGCCTTTGCGATAACCTTTTATTTTGATTTTTTGATTTTTTGATTTTTTGATTTTTTGATTTTTTATTTTTTTTTTGTTGTAACGAAAAAGACTTCTTTTTCCTCACTAATTGAAATCATATGTTACATATCTATAAACACTCCTCTCTCTAAGGATTAGGAATACACTTAATATAGAAAAAAAATTGAAATTAAATCACCTTTAATTAGATTAACTAATATACAAGCTACCTAATATACAAGTTTTATATTTAGTATTTTTCATAACACTCCCCCCTCAAGTTGGAGCATTGATATTAATTATGCCCAACTTGTTATAAATAAAAGTGACCCTTGCTCCATTAAGGGCCTTTGTGAAAGTTGGAGGATAGATATTAATTATGCCCAGCTTGTTATAAATATAAGCGACCCTTGCTCCATTAAGGGCCTTTGTGAAGATATCCTTTAGTTGTTCCTCAATCTTTACACGCGCTATAGAAATCAAATTTTGTTGAATCTTTTCACGAATAAAATAACAATCTATCTCAATGTGCTTTGTTCGGTTATGAAAGAAGCAATATGAATTGCAGCTTGGTTATCACACCACAACTTTGTTGGAGTAGTCATTAAAAAACTCATTTTGTCCAGAAATTGGAAAACCCATGTCAATTCACTCGAAGCTTGTGCAATCGCTTGATACTCAAATTCGACACTAGATTGCGACACTACATATTGTTTCTTACTCTTCAATGGGACCAAATTACCACTCACAAAAACACAATATTCGATAATATACCTTCGATCAATCTTGAAACTTGCCCAATCTACATCAATAAAGCATTCAATATTTCAATGCCCATGATTTTGATATAGAATCCCTTTTCTAGGAGCTCTTTTGAGTTAACATAGTATATATTTCAGAGCTGACCAATTATGGACTGCAGGGAAGGACATGAATTGACTTATAGTGCTAACTGAATATGAAATGTCAGGAAGGGTCATGGTGAGGTAGTTTAATTTCTCCACTAACTTCTTATATTATTTAGGATCATTAAAAAGCTCTCCAAGTTCTACATGGTTTGGCCCCTAATTTCCCTATCTCTATTAACAAATCCAAACCATACTTCCTTTGAAATAAAAGATACCCTTCTTGCTCCTTGATACCTTAATCCCCAACAAACCTAAATCTTTTGATATCGGAGTGAACCCAAAAACCAACAGAAAAACAAAATATTATTACTAAAAAACCAATTAGGCGGTTACAACTCACACACTGAAAGGGAAATACAATGGCAGAAACAAATAAACACAGCTAAAGTGTATCCCAAATGTAGAGGAGGTCAACGAGGTGGGCTGGAATGGGTATGTTGGAGTTTTGGAAAGTGAAAGAGTCAATAAAGTTTCTAGAGGGGGGATGAGTTGCGGTGAGGTTAGTTGGGGACTGGAAAAACAATAAGGCGGCATGGGGGATGGGTTTGGGTGGTTAGAAGAACGAGGACAACACGGTAAAAAGTTGGGACAACATCTAGGTAATGGCAGAGGGTGGTTGAAAAGGTTGAGGGTGACTGGAAATGGCAAGGGGGAGGGCTAGAATGTAGGTAGAAAATGACCGTGGTAGGGGTGGCTTGAATGGCTGCGACAGTAAGGGAGGTGAATTCTGAAAAGTCACAATGGAGGCGACTTCAGAATGACAATGACGACTGTTTGGAGGCAGCTGCAACAAGGGAGGGCTATCGGGAGCAAGGTGAGGATGATGTGGAAAGGGATAAGAAAGACAATCACCACCTTGTGAAAGGGATACAGTCGGAGCACCACCTAAACCCTCAAATATATCACTCGAAAAGAGAAAACGAATGCTGGCAGCTGTCCTAAACAAACTCATGCAAAAAAAACTCTAATATAAACCTTAATACAACACATATATAGTAAATAACTAGAAATGAATGAAATACAATGAGAAAACTTATTAAAAATTAGAGAGGAATCGAAAACGGGCTGCTTGGTTCGACAATGTAGTTCGCATTAATCGATGCATGTGCTCGGTTCGGGCTCCTGTAGCGGTAATATTATTGTTAGGATCGCAGAACCAGAGCTTTTGGGTAGCTCCCATGATAGTCACCCGAGGTTGGGGGAGCTTCAACCTCATCTGTCAAAACTTTTGTCTTTTCATAGTAGTCAGGTCAACCCTGTTAAAGGTTGCGACAATTTTGTAAGCTCTCGGTAAGTCAATCATGTAGGCATTGCCATTCGAAAACACATTCTGATAGAATAAATATTCATTCACCTTTAGCACAACTTAAGCTGAAGCTGTATAACAATGTAAGCTTTCATGAGTCAAATCATGAGCAAGTAAATCTATAATATGCTTCTTCCACTACTCTCACTCGCAACTGGATGCATATGATAAAGAAATCTGTTAGAAGGAATCAACTCTGGGACGAAATCTAAGATAGGTTGGACTACACTGAAGTATAAACACTGAGGAGAGGCTTCATTTTCTTCTCTGGTAGGATCTAGATCCCATTGTAAGAGTTTTTTTTTTCCCACCAAGCTCCTTAGACAATTTCCAAAGCTGTAGTTCATTTCTCTCATCCGACCATCTGTTGATGGGTATACTGCTAAACTAAATCTAATATCCGAATAACTCCATATAATATTCCAGAAGTGGCACAAAAGAGCCGCATCTCTAACATTCTAAACCTCCCTCAGTAAGAGAAACTCAGGAAGGAATCTAGATATCTGAAAAGTTAGAATTTCTCTTATATGGGGTTGATATGCATCTGGTGTTGATTCCTCGAACTCAAGAGTGTCTTGAACAACCACTGTAAATTTGGTTGGAGTCTCTTTTATTGGCTCAGCGGAAACTCTGTGGCTTTTTCCCTCTTTAGTTACAAGTCGGTAGTAATCATTTGTGTCCTCACATTCTTCGATGTCTATTGATTTTGCAATAGGTCATTGCCTGTTCATTCAACAACGCCCTGATCATTGAAAGGGAAACCAAAAATTATTAATGCAAAGCCAATTAGGCGATTACAACTCACACGCTAAAAGTGAAATACAACAACAGAAACAAATAAAAACAACTAAATTGCATCCCAAGGGTGGTAAAGGTTGGTGAGGTGGGCTGAAATGGGTAGGTTGGGGTGTTAGAAGCTGACGAATTCTGCAGGTAAGGTTCTAAAAGGGGGATGAGCGGCGATAAGGCCTGTCTGGGGATGGAAAACAACAAGGCAGTGTGGGGATGGGTTTGGGAGGCAGGAACAGTGAGGAAAGCATGGAGAATGGTTGGGACAACAAGTAGGTAGCGGTGGAGGTGGTTGGAAAAGCTGAGGGTGACCGAAAATAACAAGGGAGATGGTTAGACAATAGGTAGGTAGCAACAGAGAGTGGTAGGGGTAGTTGGAATGGCTGCAACAGTAAGGGGCACAAATTATGAAAGGTGGCAGCGGAGGTAGCTGCAGAAAAAACAACGTTGACTGCTGTTCGAGGGCGACCGAGAGCTAGGTAAGGAGGATGTGAAAGGGAATTGGGAAGATAATCAACATCTCGAGAGAGGGATATAGCAGAAGCACCACACAAACCCTTGAATACAACCCTCAGAAGGATAAAACAAATGCAAGCAGCTATCCTAAACAAACCCATGCCAAATAAACTCCAATCTAAACCCTAATATAACACAAATATAAGAAAGGGATGGAAAAAAATAAAGGCAACTTGCAAAAAATTGGAAAGGAATCGAAAACGAGCAGCTCAGTTTGGCAATTTGTTGTTCACGTTAACCGATGCACGCATTCGGTTTAGCTCCTGTAGAGTTACTGTAGCTGGGATCGCAGAAACGAGGCTCTCAAATAGCTCCTTCTTTATCTTGTACTGAACTGATTATGAAGAAATGATTTCAATGATAGCATCCCATGCATATCGCTTGCAGTAATAATTATGTCATCAACATAAATCACCGAAAGAAAAATTCCTGAAGCAAATTCGCTCATAGAATACAGTGTGATCATTTACTTTTTTGTTTCACAAATCTTTTTACAGTTTGGCAAAATTTTCTAAACCATGCTCGAGAGCTTCACTTCAATCCATATAGGGGCTTCCAAAGATGAAATACTTTCCCAGACTCCCCCTGAGCAACAAACCCAGTAGGTTGCTCCATGTCTACATTTTAACAGATCACGAAGCAAAAAAAATATTCTACACATCCAGTTGATGTAGGACCCGATTATTTATTGCAACCAAGGATAGGAGTAGGTGAAGTAAACTTTACTTAGCTACCCTAGAAAATGTGTCCTAGTCGTCGATCTCATAAGTTTGAGCATAGCCCGCAACCACCAACCGAGCTTTGACACGAGTTATAGATCCATCAGAATGAAACTTACTGCAAAGTCCCATTTACAACCAACAACCTTCTTTCCAAAAGGTAATTCAACTAGTTCCCATGTTCCATTTTTAGTTAAGACATTTACCTCATCAAGCATCGCTACCATCCACTCAGAATGCGATAAGGCTTGCTGAAAAGTCTTGGAACACCAATAGAGTCAAGAGAAGCAACAAACGAGCACAAAGTGGAAGATAACTGATTATAGTTAACACAAGAGGAAATGGGATAAAAGCATTGACGATTACTTATTCGAAGAGGAATAGGCAAATCAGGATCACTAAGTGGAGGTATTGCTGAGCAAGATGATACCGATGTCATACTAGGATCAATGGAGTGAAGTCTTCTTGAGTAAACATTAAAGATAGGTGGTTTGGGCTGAGGCATTGGAGATGGAGCTAGAACAAGATTTGAACTTATGATGTGACACATTAACAATTCATTAGAATCTGGTGAGGATTTAGATATTGACGAGTCACCAAAGATTAGAGTTTGTTCATACATGAAAGGTAACAACATAAATCATGTACCTATTTAAGAGAGGAGAAAAACATAGATACATTTTTTTAGGCAAGACTATCCTAGAAAGACACACCATAATAACTTAAGGTTTTGGGCACTTGTAGGCGAGCATCACAAACAAAGCACGTACACCCAAATATGCATGGTTTAATAGGAAAACGTGAGTTAGTTGGAAATAAAACTTGGTAGGGTGTCTGGTTCTATAAAACAGAAGGAGACATCCAATTGATCAAAAACATATAGTAGAAACTACATCAGCCAGAACCGTTTATGCACATTTGTTTGAAACAAAAAAGCTTTAGCTGTCTCAAGATGTCTATTTTTCCTTTCAGCTACTTTACTTTGGGATGGATTATCGACACATGATGACTGGTGAAGCATCCTGTTTTGTGTCATGTACTCCTGAAATGGTGGAGAAATATTCTTTGGAATTGTTAATTCTCAGAATTTTAACCAAAACATTGAACTAAGTTTTAATTTTGGCACAAAAAGATTGAAAATGTAACAATACCTCTGTGCGAGACTTTAAAAAATAAAACTAAGTCATATAAGAAAAATCATCCATAAAGGTGACAAAATATCAAAATCCATTAATAAAATAGGACAATTTCCCCACACATCAGAATGAACCAACTAAAACTTTTATTAACTTTGAGAACATAATAATATTTATACTATGTAACGGAAAAGACTTTCTTCTTCTTCTTATTAGTTGAAATAATATGTTACATATTTATAAACACTTCTCTCTCTACAGATCATGAATACACCTAATATAGAAAAAGATTCAAAATTTAATCTCATCGAATTAGGCTACCTAATATACAAGCTACCTAAAATACAAGCAATATATTTAGTATTTTCCATAACAGTTTTGTTTATGTTTCACTTGAAATAAACATGTTTGGTAATGTTATAACATGTTCAATTTTTTTAAAAAAATACTTGAAACAAATTTTTAATATTTTGAGTGCTTTAAAAACAAATTAATTTATTTTTGAAAACAAATAAGTAAAAACATACAAAAAATGTACTAAACAAAAATGTGTCTAAAATTAAAGCAAAACCAAAAAAAATAAAAATGAAAAACAAAAAATAAAAGCGATCCCAAACAAGTCTTTACACAATTTATAATATCTTTCCATGTGCTTGAATATTTCAAGAACTAAATGTAATCATAGATGTAGCAAAGGTCATTTTGAAGGGATAAGTTGATGCCAAAGCACAAAATAATAACTATGATAGAGACAAGGGGTAAATACAATACACTGCAAGAAGAAATCACCAAGAAAAAAATATAGAAGAGTTATGTGATTGAATGAGATCCAATTACACACACAAACACACAGAGAGATGACTACTAGTCTAGAGAAATACACAAAGTTCCGATATTTGCCACCCAAATATCCCCAATTTTTAATTGCAAGTCTCCTTCACTCTCTTTTAAGTAATTTATTATCCAATTATCTCTCACAAATCAGAAAAGTCCAAAGCAGTGACAAAAGAATATGCTCTCTCTCTCTCTCTATTTAGTTAGCACTTTTAAGTTCTAAGTGCGCGTCCATGAAGTTAACCTCCACTCTGACAACCTCTTGATGGTCTCGCTTGAGACTCACACCCACCATCTTGAAATGGAAAATTTGTGAGCTACACCATTTGTATAAATTTTAGAGGATATTGCCAGCAAACGTTAGCATCCACCTTATCACTCACGAGCTCCACTGCAGCAATAAACATCACAATTTCTATAAAACTGTAACTTTACATATGGCAATCCTTCGTAACTTTATCAATAATTTTTTAAATAAATAATAGATAATACTCTCAAAAAATAGGGATCCTTCAAATCACAAAAATAATCCTAGATAAAAGCAGTAATCAAAGCTATAAAGCAAGCGTTTGACCTTTTTATTATGGTGAGCATATAACAGTTATCATTCCAATACCTCCTTGGAGAACAAACCACCCACTGCAGATAATCCCAGAAGTACATCGGGCTTCACTTTTTTGACCTGATATATAACAAAGATAGCTTTTGTAATCAATTAAATACATTACCCAGCAATTGAAGGAAAATTAATGACAATAATCGACAAAATAAATCATATTTACATAGCATCTTGAAACGTAGCAATTTTCATAGCAAACACAGCTTAGTTGCAAACTGATCTTTACAAATAGGATATCAAGTTAATGCTACCAATGAACATTTTATGGCAATCCTAAGATAATCAGATATATCTATACTACATATACTATAATAAAAAAAGTGGCTTGAGATTCCCTTAATATCCATTCATTTAATCTTCTAACATTGAATGCTAACCATTCATTATTATCACATTTATCTATATACTACTAAGGAAATGGCATGTGATCATATCCCCTAAAATTTAAGAAAATAAATGCCAACATTTGAGCTCTACGTAATTATTAAATCCTAAATATTTATGAATCTATCTTGTTGCCTAACACCTAAATGTTTTTTACCTAAAGCATAGGTGGTAGTAAATGCTTGAGAAGAAAATGGGGTCAAACAGTCCAACATCGCACAAATAGAGCAGCACCATCTCTAAACGCTTTGGAAGTTGTACATTCTCATTGATTGTCCTAGAGATGCTAGAAATTAGAAGAAATGGAGACGAAGTGGTTTGCAATAGAGAAGATAGAATGCATCCTCATCTACATTTATTTAGCCCCATTTTTACTCAGTTCTCAATGTAGGAAGTGAACGGGAAGGATGTTGATCTAAGAACAAGCTTCCTCCATATCAACTCCCAGCTCAATTCTATGCTCCTCATGGACATAACCTTTCTGCTTCACCGAAGTCGACAATGAATCATTAGGGTCACTGGATTAAGAAATACAAACACTTAGCTTCTGCATTGCCTAATATAACCTTTTTTTTTTTTTACTATCAATAGAAGGTTGTATCTTTATCTGTATTGCTTCAATGCATTTTAGCAAAAAGTTTGATCGCTATTTTATTTTGCTAATTTTTAACAATAAGCGATTCAACATCATGTGGTTCTGAGCTTCATAAAGATTCAGTTGGATTCAAAGTGGGACGTGAAAAACAAATTAAAGAAACTGAGTCATGATTTAGTTGTTGATTGTTCCTCTTATTTGGTTTGTTAGTTTTTAAAATTCAAGTTGAATGAAAGAAAAGATATCTCTTTGGGATTTCTCTGGCACTTTACTGATACAGGTTGTGATATGAAGATTTAATGTAAAATTTGAATGCAACATTTTTTGGTTTATAATTGCGGTTGAGTAGTTTCTTATAAATTCTCTGATTTCTTTTTTTTTTATTGAGGGTGAATGGATGAACAGAGCTCAGCATTTAAAAAATCATTCAACTTGTTTAACAAGGATGAAGATGGTTATTTTCTTTTGACTTGAGTTTCTTGCTGCTTTTCTATGTCTCTTAAGGAACTATTTTGTTTTATTTTTCTGTTAATTAGCCTTCTAGGGTGAGATATGTAAGTTTTCACCAGAATGATTTTTTTGTATTTTGTCAAGAGGTTATTACTCTTTTCAACTCGTACAGCAGTTAGAGGTTATGTGTCCGTAGCCGTGGCACCTAAACATCTTCTGGCAGGCACTGTACTGGACGAATTACTTTTTTCTGGTTTCTTTCCACTCAAAATTTGTCTTGTCACTTCCTTGTTCGGTCTTCCCAACTCCTCCAAATGTAATCTTCTTAGTAGCTGTAGTTGTAGGTGGTTGTCTGCTTTATTTCTGCTATCTCTTCATCATCAAGGCTAAGGATTAGACATCTCTAAGTGACCAATAGGGCTGCAGTTGCAAAATATTACTGATAGTTGGCTTTAGGTCTCCAAAATATCGGGCAATAGTATGTTCCTCTGGCTAGGACAATTCACATTTCATCTGAAACTGGTCAAATTGTGATATAAACTCCTCCACTAACAGGTTTCTCTGTTGTAGGGGATAGAGCTTCATAAACATATCCTAACGATAGTGAGGAGACGAGTATCCCTCTGCATCTCCTTCCTCATCTTCTCCAATCTGGTAATCTTGTTGCATCTCTCTTTTATTGCCACTGCAAGTTTTCCCACCATAAGTGCTCTATTTCAATTTCATGACCACAAGCTTCACGCTTTTGTCTTTTGGCTCCTCTTTGTACTCGAATATTCTCTCAACCGACTGCAACCATTCAATAAAATCATCTGGATCTATCCATCCATAGAACTCTGATAGACCCACTTTGACCCCAAAATCTCTATCCTCTATACGTTACCTCCTATCTCGGCCTCCTTTGGTAATGAATTCCGAACGTCATGATCTGTACTCATCACTGAAGTACTCCTTGTTAAAGGGGTTCAAATTCTCATCTTTTTCTCCTCTTCGACTCCCTATATCATGATCGAGCGCAATTTCCCCCGGGTCCCGTTATAATTTACCGCAAGTCTCTGCTAAAGTAGACGGATCTCTCACTGTATCTCTTCCTAAGAAGATTCTGACATGTGTCTCCTTGGTGGTGTTTAGGGTTTAATTTATGGGAGTGGAAAAGGGTATTTGAGGACAGGAAAACAAATTTTTGGGTTGGAGATGTGCAAGAAGGTTGGAAACCCTAGATATGGAATAGGGTTACGCTAGCTCTGATATCAAATGCTACCGCAGTAAACCCAAACCACATCAAAATAATAGTATTATTGCTGAAATTCAAAGGAGTTTACAAGCAAAGATACTTGAAAATAAGAAAAACAACACAAACACAAATACCCCCTACAAAGAGGTTCGAAGGTGGTGGGCCGTGTGTCAAGATAGTGGAAACGAAAAGTTGCAGGTTGTAGAGAGGTCTAGCGGCAGCAAGGAGAAGGGGATTTTGCGGCTGGATAACACGTAGGAGAGGATTGGTGGGGACGACAACAAGCAGCTGCGTTGTTGGAGGGTGCAACAACAAGCGATAAGTGGATTGGTAAGGGAGGCAACAAGAAACTGAGCTGTTGTAGGGTGCGACAAGCAGTAGGTGTATTGGCAGGGAAGGAAGCAAGCAACGGGTTGTTGGAGGGTGCGACAACAAGCAGGGGAAAGGGAGGGATGCGAGGAGATAATCACTATATTGAAGCAGGATATAGTCAGAAAACCACCTGTTATCGAAAACAGCCCAAGTAAGTGAGAAAGACACCCACGACAAAACATCTGAAGCAAAACTAACCTAAAACACAACAAATAACATATATGTAGTCTTAGGGTAAAGAGGAGTGAGCCCAACTCCAAATAGGAGAGACTATGCACAAGAAAGGACAGCTCAATCCTTCTCCCATCTGGATGGCGCACCCGGGCATAGGCCCCAACCAACACCCCCCCCCTAAAAATTAAGTATTGTTTGCTCTAAATTTGGTACATGCATATGATCAAGACAACTGGGAGTCCAAAAATGTGAAGGTCTATGAAAAAAAGTTGATTTTTGTAATGAACATATTAATACCATGTGCTATATGACTTTTGTGTTAAACATATAAATTTTTGGGGGGTACATATTAAAATCCATAGCCCAATTCAATTAATACCAAAAAAAAGGAGCAGAGTGCAAGAAAAAGCCAGAGCTCCAAATATTAATGTTACTTCCATGCACAAAAAGATTAATTTAAACTGAAACTCTATAAAAATGATATTTTATCAATTATATACAATAACTCCAGAACATCATATCAAGCTTATGTATGGATTATATACAAGCCGTTGCATCCATAGATCCGTTGATATCATTTTTCACAATACACAATATTCCATAATATCTACTTCTATGATTTAATATAAAATTTAACAAATACATTATCGTGATGATTTTAAAGGGATAAAAAATCACATTTTTCGGGTTGGTGTCATCAACACTACCACAACATTAACCTTATTTTTCAAGGTCCTTCTATCAATTCTATCCAATAGTGAGCTCTACAATTCATCCTCCAATATTTCGATCTTATATTCTAATATCTATGATCTGTATACAGATAAAATTGCGCAAGTTATATTTTTCATGCCATTATTGATTTTAATATAATGCTTATTTCTTTGTAATTGTGTGTGTATTTTTCTTACTTTTTTTCATTCCTGTATTAAACTGGAATAAAATAAAGTATTTTTTGATTAGTGATTAGTACTGTTAGTTTTAACGAGCAACTCTTGGATGATCTTATATTCTACTTATGCTGTCTATCTTGCATGATGCAGTTTGAGGAAGAGTAAACATAAATATAGAAAACTAAACCATCTTATTTCTGATTAAACAGGGAGTGTGCGGAGCATATGTTGAATTTCATTCATATAAAAGAGATGAAAACTCACAATGATATACAAGAAATACTCAAAAGATGAGCATAGAGACTATGATGCAGTCTCAAAGTATAAAGTTTGTTGAGGATAACGTGGAATAGCATCATGTTCCTTAGTTGCTTTTTTATATTAATTTAAGAAGTTTAAATGAGTGAGAAAACAACTTTCAAATCATGAACTTCATGAAACTCAGCCTTTAATCCTTTTATTTACTTCTGCATTAGGAGTGGCTGGCATCATAGTTTGGTTGCTCTGTAGTTGTTCTGATTTTCTTAGATTTGACACGGCTCAATTGCTTTAGTTATAATAGTGCCTGATGATTTTTCTTCTCTAATCTAATATTTCCATCCTTTTTTGAAATTCTTTTGTCACTTTTTATACCTAATAGCTACACATACTTGTTGCTTCTCATTCACCATGCCTAACTAGCTGAGAAAAGTTGAAGCATAATAGCTTGATAGATAAACCTGTCCTCTTAACAAGTGTTTCAGATTTAATTTTTGCATAGAATCAACAATAACCACAATTAAACATTTATTAATTTGACCCTAACAAACAACCAAAACACCCATCCATTCTCAAAAGCTGAAAAACCCTAGTTGCTTGTTTCAATATTTTCAGTAGAATCTGACTGCATTATGTGTAAACCAATATTTATTTATGTTCTAATATATAATGTTGAGCTTGCATTGCCATATAATTTCATTAG